GGTGAGGCATCATGAGTGGGTCGTGCTGTGGGAGGATCGATATCAGCGCCTTCCCCGTAGAGAACCCATTTTTACTAACCTCTTGATGGTTGTTAACGATTATTATGAGTGGTTCAACAGTAACGGGAAATCATTTCTGCTTTCTGAGGATGCATGAAGGCAGACCTTTCAGCGACGTCGGCAGAGACGTTCACCGACACAGTACCATCGTCCCCCGACTCGTGAACGGAGAGCAGGTGCTTCCGGTTCATCCTCGGCTGCACCAGTATGACCTTTACAGCAGCCACCGTCTACAGCGACTTACATACCGTAGCCATATATGATGTCGCCACCGTCGTTCCCTTACCAGATGTCACCGCCATCACCGTCACCTGGTTTTATGACCCACTGCCGCCACCGTCACAGAGTTTTATGACCCCTCCTGGAGGATATTATGGGTCTATATTTGTAGATCCAACTTGGGGTTCATATGCCCACATTTTGGTGGGTTCAGACTCATCACCCATGGCCGCAGTACAGACACCTCATGTACAGTTTTCACACTCAGAGATGTCTGGGTTTTATGAATTTTCCCAGTTTTCACAGGCCGGTGGGATAGTCAGTCATACACCTCCAAGGTCCTTATTTTATGGAGGTGCTTCATCGTCATCAGCTCTTCATCAACCTAATGTTGCTGCTCACGATGACGACAACGATGACGATGATGGTGATGATGATGACAGCGAGGAGTTACAACCACTGATACGAATAAATCCTCCTCGAGATCGACAGCCACCGCCCTTCAGAACACATTCGCGTCGCAGACATCGATAGATTTTGTTTTTTTTATATATTTGTATTTAGTTATTTATTGTATATTTTTTATTGTAATTTTTTTTTATTTATCATTTAATACTTACTTTATTTCATTAATTTTGTTGGATTTATTTTAATTTATTTTGTTAAATTTGTTTGACTTTTTGTTAATATACTTTGGTTAATTTTGTTTATTATCATTTAATGTAATTTGTTTATCATTTACCATTTAATACTTATTGTAAGTTTGTTGTATTTAAAATTATATTCAAATACCAAATTGTTATTGTTTTGATAAAATTTAATAATTGTGTTCGATAACTTTCTTCAGTTTGTTACTTATTGTAAGATCGAATGACATTAACTTGAAGTAAATGCAAATTAAAGTACAAGAATTCTTATTTGATAAACAACTACATCAGTTCCTCATCAATTGTTACTTGATGACAGCAGAAGTGGACATGTTTTTCTAGTGTGTCCTGGGTTTCTACAATGTCCACATCTTCTGTCTTGTCTAGATCTTTCTCGAATATCCATATCACAATGAATTCGATTAGATTTTGGACGACCACGCTACCTTAATAAAGTTGGATTTGGTACAATCGAAAGCCAATCTTAAACCTCATCAGGGTCTTTGTCATTACCTATAGGGGGAACTTAAATTCGTATACCTTAAAAACTTCAGATAGTAGGTATACATGTTCCACAAAACAGTTATAGTCTTGATGCGTATGCGAGCAAGCTGCTATCACATGAGAGCATGGATACTTCAGAGCTTGAAAAAACCCGCAGTCGCACGATCTGTCCCGTAGATTTACTCTTAAAAACACAACTTCAATCCATTGAAGAGGTCGCAGCAACTCTGTGACACGAAACATTTCATGTCTTCTAGAGAAGCTTGTTACAGACATTCCATTTGATGCAACAATTTTTTTTGTAGATCTGCAACTAATCTAGGCTGATAAACATGACCACCTTGCATCTAGGTTTGAGCTTGTCCCCCGAGCTTCGCAAAAAGCGCCCCCAAACAAAAATACGTAGTTTTTACCAAAGCCACTACAGGTAAGTGACGTGTACCCTTTAAGGTTGAATTGATTGCCTCGGCCAAGTTGGTCGTCATGTGTCCATATCGATATCCACCGTCATATGCGTTCGTCCATATTTCTTTATCGACGAGGCTGATGTAATCGTATCCTTCCTCGTTTTTCGCCCGCAAATCTTGAAGCATTGATTCAAACGTTTGAGGAAGTAGTTCGTAACCTGATCAAAAAATGTATAACTTACTAACTTGTTTTCTTTGCAAAATTAAAATGATTGAAAAAAAACAAACTACATCAGTTTCACTTACCCATGCGCACAATTAATTGACGCTCATCATTCTTCTTGTACCTTCCATGGTAGTTCGCAGCAATGTGTCAGAGAAAATACCTATGTTGGACAAAGGGTGGTTGCCACATTGGATCCAAAGACTCCATTGCTGCTTTGATCCCAGCTTCGAGATCTGAAATGACATAGATTTTTTCCCTCGAGATAACATGTGCATGTAAGTTTCGGAGGAAAAAAGCCCAAGAATATGTATCTTCTCCTTCAACCAGAGCAAAAGAAACTAGAAGAATGTTGCGATTGTTATCTTGGATAACTACCAATAATAAAACTTGCTTGTATATTCCATACAAGAAAGTCCCGTCGATCTGGACTACAGGCTTGCAATATTTGACAGCATTAACGCACTGTGGGTAAGTCCAAAAAACCCGGTAGAATTGGCATCGGTCACGAAGAACTCGATCATTATGGTATGCATAGGAGGTTTCGAAGTCCCCAATTGTCCCAAGATTCAACCTCCGCACCAGCCTAAACTAGCCTGGAAGTTCATTGTAAGATGCATCTCATTCGTCATGAAGTTTGACAATGGCATTTTGTTTTGTCAACCAAGCTTTTTTATAGGAGACAGTGTACCCATACTGCGATTGTATAGCTGAAATCAACACAGCAACAGCTATATGAGAGCTTGCTTTTACCATGGGCACGATGGCTTGTCATATCACTTCAAAGTCCAAGTTGGGATGATCTTGGTTGACCCCTCCAACACAACATGTGTGAGGATCGTTGTATACTGTTAGTTCTCATATATTATTTTTCCTCTTCCTCTTCGATACGCGAACCATCTAATTGCATCTGTTTTCGTGTCGGACACAGTAGCATACATATTTTTCTGTCGTGGAGCGGTCGACTCTCGATTGAACATAATTACGGATATTGTAATTTTTTATAGCCATCATCGCTTCTTCTTTGCTTGAAAACTCAATGCCTAAAGATAATTCACCATTATTTATTGATGAGTAATATCCATAGTTACCGAGATGAGGCATATCCGCAAATTCTGGCCCGTACATTGCACCATAGTCAGTTTCATACATGTGTGCTGGAGGGTCAGTTTGTGCCACATTTAATGGAACTTCATCTACATTATCATCATCATCGGAGTTGAATTACGGTGATTATGGGTGAATAAATAGTCCAGTCTCAGCACCATCCGCACCAGGCTCATGAAGCGATTCTTCTAGTGGAGATGATGGTTCCTCCATGCTCTCCACATTTAGGTCGAAGAACCTACTACTTGCACGTCTTCCCCTTGAACTAGAAGACATATCGATATTGAGATCAAAAAAGCTCGTAGTGGAATGTCTCCCCTTGGAGCTTGAAGCCATCGTGTCAAATGGAAACTGCACAGATTGTTGCGTCGATGGCAACTTCATATTAAAGTCAAAGAAATTTACAGATGAATGTCTTCCCCTTGAATTGGACGCGATGTTTCCATACAGATTATTGATGGACCCACCTCGATATATATCGTAAGGAGTTACAGATGAATGTTTCCCCGTTGAAGTTGATGTGACATCACTATGATACGAATTTCCTATTATGACGTTAAAATCATTACACATTACTGTAGTCGGGCTGTAAACCTGATCAATTTGTTAAGTCATCTCATAGTGGGAGCTTAATGACAGACCCCGAACAACACGCACTTAAACAAACATTGCATACATCTCAATATCGACGTTTGAATAATTACTTTGAGAATCGGTCATCATTTCAACATCATCATTGTTCGATAGTTCGAACGATGTATAAGTTAATGACAACAATGATGTTGGAAATATGTACTGCAACGACGACATTCTTCTACTACTTCCAACATGAACCTTCCTCGAAATCTTCGTTATCAGCTCCTCAAGAGTTATGTTTTTCTTGAATGATATTTTAACACGCTCATTTGATACGAAAACAGCACCAGTTTCATCTTCTCGAATTTCTCCATCATAATAAACAATAGCTGAAAGTCGTGTCATTCTTAGAGTTTAAAAGTGCGACAATATTATATCTGTAAAAAAAACTGAAATAAACCTGATTAAATAAATAATATATGAACGAAAATATAACACAATAAAATTTTTACACATAAACGTAAATAATTTAAATAATATAATTTTATATTATTATCTGCACCGCAAAAATATTTCGACGTATGCTCTTGCTTTTCCCTTGAACTGACACAGAAATTAATTGAAAACAATTACTATAATATTTTTTCAAATAATCATAATAAACAATAAGTATAATAAAAAAAATATTATAACAAAGTTACCTTATAACGAAAGATACGGGGAGAGGGCTATTTATAGCAGAGAGAGAATTCTTTAAAGTCGAGAGGTCCGGGTAAATAATGCAAGGCGCGGTCCCTGCACAATGCCTTGCATTATGTATGTCTGATAATTGAGCATGTGATAATTGAAAAACGCGGCCTCTGACCCACGCTATAGCTCTACATGACGTAAGGCATGCCGCAGGGGTCGCGCTTTAGACACGAGTGTCTATGTCAGTGTAAAACGTACTGCAAAAGGTGTTAGATCAAAAAAAATAATCTGAAAGATGTCTGACAGTGAAAAATTATAAGGTATATATGATATTTCGAAAAAAACACCGATTATTCTTAGGTGATTGTTCTCAGGGGTTAAACAATTAAAAGATTATAGAGAAAAATACGTCTAGAAACAAATTCAGTTCATTTCATCATCATTAAAATTAAGCTTTTTTGGACAACAATTCACCCAAATCGGAAGAGTCGATATGCGAAAACATCTATCGGAAGCAATTCAGGAGAACACAGTAGATAATTCAAATCAATCCAAAATTAATTATAAAAAAAATCCGATCAACGAAGCCTCCTGGCTTCTCTCTCAGACTCGAGCAACGTCAGAATATCTCCTTCACGGACTGGTCCCTTCACGTTCCTCATGATGAACCGGTTCTGATCGTCCAAAAACTTAACTCGTACTTGAGTCACTTGACCTCGGGAACCGGTCCGTCCCATAATTTTTACCACCACAGCAAACTTAATCTGGCTATCCATTCTGCAAAAAAGAGGGTGAGATCTTAAATCATTAGCCCTTAAAACGAGATTATTTGATCAATAATTTGAAAACAGATTCCGCAAAACCAGATTAAAAGGAATGATTTCTCATAGAATCAACAAATATATTCCTAAAAACAGCTAAAAGGAAGCCAAGTATTCCTTAAAATAACCAAACGGAAGCAAATCTAATGCTAAATATAATAAAAACGATAACATGTAATGCAAGAGATTAAGAACTAACATGATCGAACCTTAAGGAGTAGTCGGATAGGTAGCGGCTGCTCTCTCTCAAGAGTATGAAGGAAGAGAGTGATATTTCCTCGATATGGTGTTTATATATTGACAAACTTTTGGAATGACGATTATGTCCATTAAGTTTGGCCTTTTCTAACCTGGCTATTTAGTCGTTTCATTATGATTTAGGGTTTCGGCACGAGTGAGGCCCACGGTTGCTGATTAGTAGCTCGTTGACGTGGCATGTTTAGGCCGCTCGATCAATATTCTCTCTCTTTTTAACAAAATATCCAAATTATTGTATTTTTAGAGTACATTACGCACTCAATTCTTTAATGAATCTAAACTTATAATTTTTTAAAAATCATATTTAAAGTTTAGTTTTAATTTTATTTTAATATTATATCATTAAAAAAATTATTTTTATTTTATTTTAATATCTCGTTCAAAAGTTAACATTAAATTTAAAAAATAAAAATTTAAGTATTAAAATGGACAAAAACAATTAGTTTATGTACTAAATGTGTTTAGGGTTATTAAAATAAAATGAAAACTAAAATTTAAGTATGATTTTGAAAAAAAATGAATATTTAGGTATTAAAACACGTAAAAAATTGATAGTTTAAGTAATAAAAATGTTCCTATAACATCATATGATATGTTTTGTATTTCCATTGTATGATGATTCATTGTATATCATCGATATGTTCTATTTTTATTACTGATTATGTCTCATTAAGTATATATTTAGTGTGTGATTATTTTCACGTGTAGGTAAAGAGCAGAGATTGGAGTAAGGAGTGTATGACATCTTATCTATTAAGAAGCACACTTACAATATAAGTAATAACACCCATCTAATCCATTTGATTTTTTGAGTTGGCATGTATATGCTATTAGTATTTTGTTTAAACTTTGCTTAGATATAGTTGGAATAAGTTATAAGCAGTTTTTAGGTAAATATATTGGTTACACTTTTTAGTTATGAACTGTTAGGTTGTTGCCTGAAAATGAACTCAATATGAATATTGTATAATTAGAAATGTGTTTTATGCGATTAAATGAACTATGGTTTATTGTTTAGCAATAATAGTTTTAAAGAAACAATTTTTTACCGATTTTCAATAAGAGAAGTTTTGTATGTTCTATGTGACATCTTTGACTTGTGCTCGATGACGGATATGGGAAGGAGGTGATAATTATTTGCGATCGCAAATTGTGTATCCAGATTCAATATTTCGAGGGTCTAAAGCATGGAAGATCAGCAGGATTAAAAATGAGCACCATCTTGATCAGTCATGGTGACGTCAAATTCAACTCTGAAAATATTAAACAATAAGTGATCATAAAAGAAAACAAAAAAATGTCAAAAGTCAAAAAAACGTACTATAAAAGTAGAGAAAATCATACAATGAAGATAGAGTTATTAGAAACTTTGAAAATATAATTATAAATATAGAGTATATTATGATTGACTTTATATTACGTGAATAAAAGTAACATACTCGTCACTCTGGAAAAAATGAGGATGCCTAGTAACTGCAATTTACGCTAATTAAAGGCTTATATAATTAATATTTATTGATTTTATTATAAAATAATGTTTGCAAAAACAAATAAAAATAAAGTCATTTTCTAATATCTTTCGGCACAAGTGTTTAATATAACTACGGTGACCTCCGATTCCAACTCAGTATCGGATTCCCTATTACAGCCGAACTGATTCACCTATAAAACACTAATATTATTTCTTTCACTTTAACCGACATATTAACTCAAGAAATCAGATCAAAATCCAGAAAATTAGATACAAAACCTTGCAATGGCTTGCCGTTACTTCATCAGTATCAGGCAAGAACACGAGAATGATTTAGAACAACTTGGTTTTACGATCCCACATGATCTTTTCCACATAGATGTAGAGATTCGTTGGATTTGGCCTCTTGACCCCCAAGTAACCTCAGAAACCTTCAACCAATCCATCGTCGGTCGTCGTGACTTGTTTTTATCCGAAGAAAATGGTCGAAACATCATACGTTCGACGGTCGCGGACTCGAGAGCATCCCCAGAACTCATTGATGCTGTCATTGTTCCTGATATATTGTCTTTCGCAAGGGATGTCGATAGTTTGCCTATGAACATTGGACGTCACGTAATCAACTTGAGAGCCGAATTGCTTGTTGAGGTGAGTCTTGATGGCGAGATCGATGAATTGATTGATGAATCGATGAGGATTTCCGTGAATTTCAGGCCTGCGAGTAAGTCGTCTATCGAAGCTTTGAAAAGGGTCAAATGGGGTGATGAAGATGAGGTTCATCTTCCGTTAAAGAAGAGGAGGAAACCGGGCGAGGGTTTGAGTTCAAGAAAAGGTTGCGCAATCTGTTTGGATGAGTTCTTGGATGGCGACGATGTCGCCTCGACGCCTTGCGCACATGTTTACCATCACGGTTGTATCGTTAAGTGGTTGGAAATAAGTCATTTGTGTCCGTTGTGCCGATTTCAGATATCGAATGATTGAAGTTCATTTTAATCTCTTTAGATATTCTTGATCCATGTATTTAGTACAATGTAACAAACAATTCCAATTTTATGAACAAGAAATGTAGCAATCAATATAAAAAGCGGTCTTTGTGACCCCACAACAACTGCTGCAGCAAGAAGCTTAGACTCACTCTGAATCAAAGCATTCTTGAAGATTTCGGGGCTATCAAGTATCATCGATTCCGGTGATCGGTTGGAAAAACCGGATTCCGAAGCCGAAGGTCAGCATCCGTGAACCCAAGGAGAAGGGTTTAACAGTTAGCGTCACACGGCTTCATTTTCATTGTTCTCTCCATTAGACATTCCGGTTGCTGCCACTATTTGTGAGAGCCACTCATCCACCTCTTTCTCGTTTTCGTTCGTTTCCGAGCGCACGGATCTCGCCTCTTCGACTCAGTTTTACAGGTCCCATCCACCATGGAGATTCATGGATAGGGAGAAGTGCAAATCCTATGAAGATTGAAAGACAAAATCCCATAACCTCCGGTTTATATGCACTTTTTGTGTATTTATGCATATTGGTTTTAATTGCAGTAAGGTGCTCGTAGGTTAGAGAAATGGATAACTTGGTACTTCAATAAAGTTTGATGCTAAATTAGGTTCATTTCGATTACCATATGTGAAATCTTTTTCTCGTCCGATCGATCGGTTCAAATAAAGTGTGTTACACTATAAACTTTCGAACAGGACAAATAGAACTCAAGTAATAATATCTAATATGACTTAATTAAGTCATATCCCTCTTAATCATTTTACACACATGTCTTGACTACATCGAAAAACTCTCTCTATATGAATTTGATCTTCATTATTAGAAGTGTTTATTGTTTAATTTTAACCGAATTAATTAATCAAATTAAACTAATACAATTAATTTGTTAGTGGTTGAAATACTTTCGGTTGGATATCAATTAAACTTTTTTTTAAAAATTAATTATTAATTAATTTGATTTAAAATCAATTGATTAATCAAATTAATTAAAATTTTAATAGATAACTAACATATTTCTTATTTAAGTAAAAATCCCAATAATTTTTATTTTTTAAACCCAATATTAAGAAAAAGAGGATAAAATTTTAGATATCTAACAAAAGTAAGATAACCTCCACTCCCCTCTATTGATCGAGGTAAGTAATTAGGAATATATATATATATATATATATTTTACTTTTTATTATTTTATTCGTAAATATTGTAGATGGAAATGGACAATTTTAAATAAATATTTTAATTTTTTATTTTGTTGTTCAAATCGAAACAAAAATATTAAAAAATTAATTAATTTGAAAATCAACCGAATTTATTAGTTCGGGTTGATTAAAGACTTCCATTTACATTCTAATTCGGTTGACAATTAAAGATTTAAGAATTTAATAAATTCGATTAATGCATATTCAGTTTGGTTATTAAACAAACTGACCGTTTGAATACGTTTATCCATCATTAGCGTACCAAATAAATATTCTTATATAATATATGTATTAGGTGTGAGCAAAACTCGACTCGACTCAAAAAATCAAAATTTTCGACTCGAATTTACTTCTAGTTGCAATTTCATAAACTCGACTCGAAAAAATTTCAAGTTCAAATCGAGTTGTAAAATGCAACTCGAGTAACTCCAAATTTTTAGTAATTAGTAGATTTATTTTTAAGTTTGAGTCAAGTTATTGGACTTTGTATGATATATGTATATTACATATAAAAAAAATATGAATAAATATATTTGTATTATATATATATGATTATAGAAAGTCACTTAAATTGGAATAAAATAATAAAATAATATTATAAATATTTGCAATTAAATTTAAACAGAAAGTTGAAAAATCGACTCGACTCGAAAAAATTTCAAATCAAGTCTGAGTTGTAAAATAGGACTCTTTAACTCGAATAACTCAAAAACATTTCACTCGATTCGATCGAACGCTCACCCCTAATATGTATAATATTTATTTTTTTAAGACAGAAGTAAAGTAAACATATTAATAAACTTAGGGTAAATTACACTTTTTAGTACTCAACTTTGCTCGTGTTCTTGTTTTGGTCACTTAATTTTTTTTTAATTTAATAATTCAACTTTTGAATTTTTATTATTTTAGTCACTTAATTGTTAAATAATTAATAGAGTTATTACAAGACATTTTCTTTTTACAAAATTATGAAAAGGCCCTAAACTTTCTTCATCTTTTTGTGAAATCTCCCTGAAATTCTCATTAAATCTATTCTTTTGGATTCCCTTTGATTTTTTTTTTATGTTGGAACATCTTCTTCCAAATCTCAGTGGGGAGGTAGAGAAGGAGGAAACAATTTTTATATTCTAATTCCATGTTGAATGGAATATGAAGATTGTAGATGAAAGTCATTTTTCACTAAAATTTGGGTTGAGTTTCACAAGTTTTAAGGAGATTTTGACAAAGTCTAAAATAATAGAATGATAGGGGAAGATGGGATGAGTTCGTCGGTTTCTCGAATGGTTTAAAAAGATGTTGAAGGACGGTAGTTCTAGTATTAACATGACATAGGAATGAAACATCTAAAGTTTCATCTTTTGGGGAGTTTAAAAAGATGTTGAAGGACGGTAGTTCTAGTATTAACATGACATAGGAATGAAACATCTAAAGTTTCATCTTTTGGGGAGAATGAGAAGAAATAAAAAAAGGGGGAAAAGGAAAAATGAGTTGGATAATATATGACTTCCACACCAACATAAAATTGTTCACACCACCTTATTATTTTTTATTTGATTACTGAATGATCAAAACAAAAGTAATTCAAAAGTGGAGTAATTAAATTAAAAAGATTATAGTTGAGTGACTAAAACAAGAATATGAAAAAAGTTGAGCGGTGAAAACATAATACCCTAAAATTATATATAACAAAGGTTAACGTTAGTTTTTTTTTAATGTAATTGCAAATTGAAGGACTGTCTAGTTTTTATTATAAAATCATGTTTACAAGTACAAATAAAAATCTCAATTTTTAATATCTTTTGGTGCAAGTAATGATAGCTTCAAACTTCAACACGTAATAGGTTTCCCTATAAAAACCCTTATTTCTATCGCTCCCAAGAAATCACGTCCACATTCAAAACCCAGATAGTCGATTTAAAAAATCTTGCCAATTGCTGTCTTCCCGTTACTCCTTCAAGATCATCCAAGACAACGGACTTCTTTAGAGCATCTTGCTTCTAATATCCCGCATCGTCGTCTCCACATTGATATAGAGATTCGTTGCACTTCTTCTCTTAATCCGGAGACAACCTTGGAAACCTTCAACCGGTCCGTTGTCGGTCGTCTTGTCGTGTTTTTTTTCTGAAGAAAATGCTCGAAACATCATACGTTCCACGGTCACAGACTCAGGAGCAACCCCATAATACGTTGATACTGTCGTAGTTCCCTAATATCTTGTCTTATGCACGCCATGCCGATAGTTTAACTGTGAACCTTGGACGTCAAGTAATTAAGTTGAGAGTCGAGATACTCGCTGAGGTGAGTCCCAATGAAGAGATTGATGAGTTGGTCGATGAATCGTTGGTGAATTTCAAACCTGCAAATAAGTCTTCTATTAAATCTTTGAAAAGGGTTAGATATGGAGGCGATGAAGATGAAGATTATCTTCCGGTGAAGAAGAAGAGGAAATTGGATTTGGGCGAGGGTGAGGGTTTGAGTTCAAGAAAAGAATGCGTCGTTTGTTTGAATGAGTTGCTCGACCAAGACAGGGTTACTTTAATGCCTTGTGGCCATATTTATCACTACGATTGTATTATTAAGTGGTTGGAAACAAGTTATTTGTGTCCATTGTGTAGATATGAAATGCCAACTGATTGAAATTTGTTTATATGTTGTTTATTGACGTATTTGATAAAGAAAATATAAAAAAAATCAGCATTTTTAAAATGTATAATTTGTTGTGATTCGATTGATCATATTAATATTTTAATATTTATTGTAATTTGAATAATTACGCTCGTAAGTTCTGTGTGATTTTTTACTCCATAGAACAGGTAGAGTTCTTCAAGAGCTTGTACAACTTTGATCTGCATACTCGTGCGTATGTCGAACGACTGAGGGATGAGCCTATGTTTTCGGTCCTGAACATGCTAAAAAATAAAATCTCAAGTCAACAAGGGTAAAAAAAATATTAACTAAAAAATTCAACCAAAATGAAAGAATGTAGGGGGAAATCCACGTACATACATATAATTGTAGAGGCTGAAGCTTTCTTCATTTCAAATCTATGGCCTGGTTAAAATCGGATGGTATGAAGTGCCTTTTACCATCTTCGTTCTTCATTAGTTTCATTCTTTGTGTTAACTTCCGAATCCTTGACTGAATTCCCCGTTGTTGCTTCAGCATCCTTGACCACAGTTCCCGAAGCTTCTTTTTCACTATCTTTATTCGACGGTGGAACTTCTTGCGGTGAAGGCATTGCTTCAGGATCCTTGGTTTTGGTTTCGGAAACTCTTTCTTTAAAGGTGGAACCTCGAGTGACCGCGGCTTTGCTTCGGAATATTTAGTTTCAGCAGCATTTTCGGTATTCTCATCTGTGCCACTACCTTCCATAGATTCAGTCTTTGCTTCTGTCTCTGAAGTTTCTTCCTCCTTTTTCTGTCTCAATTACCAAGGGTGGGAGCTTTGCATCTACATCCTTGACTTTCGATGTCAGAGAACGCACATTTTTGGCGTTAGCTAGCCTACCGGCGGCTTTCTGCCATGGAAATGTAAATGTTAGAGCTTTGATTAACAGAGAGAATAAACTGTCATCTACATACATGTAAACCAAAGCAGATAAAGATAAGCATAGCAGCATGGAGATTAATGACGTCCATAAAGTAAAAGTGAAGGCTTGGGGTTTAGGAAACAACCCTGATATGCAATGCCTAAAAGAAATGCTGCAAACTCTATGTGTATTAGCAACTTGTTCAATTAAAACAGTAAAGAATGATATCCAATGCCTACAGAAATGTATGTGTTAAAGCAAGAAATTCTCAGTCACATCTTGACTTCTTCGATTTGATCCACCCGTTCTTTTAAAACATCCTCAGATGCTTCCTTGTACATACCTTGAAGAACATAAAGGATGTGATAATGGAGTTCTTCAGATTGATGTTCTTCAATCTTACAACTAGGAACTGGCGTACTGCTGCTTTGCAACCAATTGAAAAGAAAGGGCAGTTCACGAGCTTCATCGGACAGACTATTATGCAGTGTCTGTCCATCTCAAGTCTTCAGAGGAAAGCAGGGAATTTTTGTTCACATGGAATTATCTTGGGCAAACCGAATCGTGTTTCTCCGATTTATTAGCCGAAAATCGAGCATCACACCCTTCATTTCCACAGGTCATTACTCTAAAGCTACAAGTTGGCATGTGCAGGGAAAGTTCTTCTGCAGTTTCAAATTTCATGTTACAGTGATATTCGTTCTTGGCATCAACATTCTTCAGAAAAATTTGTACAATCTTTTCTCTCTTGTCAACTGGCCAACATCCATTAATTTTCCATCTGATGAGCGAAATCATCGATACTGTCTTCTTTCCTCTCGCTTAGTAGCAATGCTGAAACCCTACTAAACAAATTCCTCTTCGTAACAGCGAACTCGTCGATAAGAAAAGCAATGATATCGTAAGGATTGTCGAATACTTCCGCCTCAGGAGCACCTTCCAAGACAACAGATTCAGCCAGATAAGTCTCTGTTCTTTCCTTAGGTCCACATCTACTGAACCAGGGGACGTGAAAACGCCTCCAGTTGTATTGTCGACACGAGCCGCAGCTAACCCAGGGAGGAGTGCTTGAGTTATCTTGAAAAGCAGTTCTGCATCACAAATACCACAGTGAAATGCAGGACCCGACTCTTTTGCATCTTTGATCTTCTCCGGTACATTCTCTACATCACCGGCAGGTGGTTCCGTACTTGTCGGCGGATCCGTAGTTGTAGGGGGATCCGTAGTTGCGGGTGGATCCGTACTTGGTGATTCCTACAAAAAATTATGTCAACCACAACATATAAGTATCTTGTTTGATGATAAATTTGCTTGACAACCAAAAAATTCTTAAAGTCTAATACACATTCAGAAACAAGGAAACCTACTGATTGAACTTGTAAGACAAAATCAAAGACAGATCGATAGCCAGATTCCACCCGGAAGCAATGTCGATTGTCAAATTTCATACCTTGATCTGTGAAGTATATTTATAGCAGGAGAAAAGCAGCCCAGAAAAATCTACGTAAAATAAATTAAAACACTACCTAAGAACAGTTTTTCAATTTCTTTAGTCTTTGAGCTTAATTTGGTGTTGGAATTATGTACTGCAAAATCACACCTAACAGGAAAGGTAAATAGTAATTTAAAAGAAAATAATTCGTAAACTGTGTCGTGATAAAAACCAATACCTTATAAACAAATTCGTCCCGATGTGTGTAATCGTTGTAGTAGGCGGACTGTCCCCATAAGTTAACACGGTCACTCCAAATTTCATACACCCTAAACCGGAGTGGACTGCTGGTGGTATTGCACTTATTATCAGAAAGCAGCCAGAGAACAACTTTTTTTTGGATAAGTCGAATTTTATTATCCAAGAGCAATGTTTGCTAAAAAAAATCACCGATCTCATGAAACAGAACGAAAATACAGGCTAAAACAAATTGAACGATCGATATTAGTCAATACCCCAGGCATTACAAAGTCTGGAGTTTACATCATCAAGCCTATTAATATTTTTACCCCTAAGTTTAATACGTACAAGATCTTTGATGGTGCTAAGTATTTCTTCAATGCTTCGAGAGCATCCTTTGAAGATTCTTCGGTTGCGTTCCTCCCACAAAACGTAGATGGTGGCATTCCAAGAGAGTTTGAGAATAGTGACTAGCATTGATTTACCTTTCCAAGTTTTGCATGCCCAAGTAATCATCTCCCAAGATAAGACAGTCTTGTGAATTCCCTTAAGGTGAAAAATCTGCTCTCGTAAAAGAGAGGTAGTCTTGCAGTTGAAGAACAGGTGGTTTCGGTTTTCTAAAGTCTCATTACATAAAATGCAGCTTCCATTAGAAACAATGCCTATGCGTTGAAGGCGATCCCGAGTAGGCAACCTATCGATCATTGCCATCCAAGCTATCATATTGTGCTTAGGAATGTTCTGCGGGAACCAAATTAGAGATTGCCAAGGAGCTTTATACCCCTTCGTTCTAATATCTTGCCAAATTAACCTTATCGATGGTGTTCCATTTTGAAGGATTGGATGGGCTTCAGTTCGTAGCTTAAGTAATTTGTTGATGCCCCAGCTCGTTGATGAACCTACTTCCATTTGCCAAAAGTCCTTGCCCTTTAGAACATAAGCATTTATCCATGCTACCCATAAAGACCCCTCATTTGCAAGGATATTCTTTATGAGTTTGATCATACATGCTCGGTTCCATTCTTTTAATTTTTTTAGAAAACACTTGGAGAGTGAATTCTGAATGTAGAGAGTAAATTGAGAAGTTGAATCCAGCTATCTATTTATAGGTTAGATATAGGGTTAAAATCGTCCATAAAAAATCATGATTAAAACCCTTCATTGTAATAGCTGAAACGTCCAGATGAACCTGACTCAAAAAAAGACATGACCACGAGCTGTACCGAGCCAGATGGCGGCGACGATGCACGAGAGTTCCCCTTGTTCTCTTTCAGTTAACAAGGAAGTGGAGAATCCAAACCTTAAATACCCATTCCTAATAGTGTTTTCAATACTATGTGGGATTGAGCATTACCAACATTTTGTATTAAACGAATCTCAATATATTTTGTAAAGATCAAATCACTAAAACATTATAAACAATCCGAATTTTAGGTAACGAAAGGGATCATAACCGGAGAATCAAATTCTAATCATTCTATTAATCAAATGTAACACTAAAAAGAGAGATTCTTCACGTATTTCTAAATGTCGAAGAATTCAGAGATTTGGAGACACCGCTCTTTCTCGTAGAATCATATATTCAACTAAAAAGAATAATTCAAACCTTTCCTAAGAACAAATCGCAATTATTTTTCTACAGATCCAAACATCAAAAGGTCAAACAAAACTAAATAAAAAAACAGATAAAAGAATCGCATTAAATTATTAATATTAGAAGGATCATAAATGGAGAACCAAATTCTAATTATTCCATTGGTCTAATGTAGCGCGTAAAAAATTTAAAAAAAGAAAAAGAAAAGAAAAGAAATACCTCCATCATATTGAAATGTTGAGAATTAAGAGATTATGGTCGAAGAAAAGCTCGTCATCTCATCTCAATAAGGGGAAGAAAAAAAGGAAGGTACAGCTAAAAAGAATAGGCCTAATATAATGCCGCTCCGTCTTCGTTCTTTATATTCAGTGTAACTGTTTCAACGATCCTTTTGGCCTTTTTACGGCAAATGATCCTCTACCAACAAATAGCTAATACTCTCAATATATGCTTCCTCACGTATGTTCATGCTCTTGCCAACATTTGATATACCTACCCACTTATCACGTAATTGAAATATGTGACAATAATCATTAAATTAGATCTCTATCATTTAATCATCTCACAGTACAATAAATTATTATTATGTTGTTCGACTCTGATTTACAGTTTCTCGATAATATTTTGTAGTTTGCTCTCCTTTTATAGTTCGTTTGTCGATATGATTAGATATGTTTATATCTATCTTTTGTTCGAATTTTTTGTTGGGTTTTTTAACCTTTTCTTCCTTGTGTGATCATGAGTGGTTGTAGGAATTTTTCTTGTGTTAATGATTATAGAAAAATATCATTATTGTGTGTTTAGTTTACCGTTGTGATTTTAAGCTTTTATTGTAATTATGGATATTTCGTTTATATCATCAAACTAGCTAATTAAAGTATTAAATATTTGTACTCTTAGACTATTCAAATTAGAAGAAAGGAATTCAAATTTGTGTCAAACTTGGCAATTAAGTTCTAAAATAAATTAACTTTAAACATTTTAATATTCAATTTGTATAACTTATGACCTCAATCAAACTCTTTTTCATAATAAGTCAATCATTGTACTTAATGAACATTAGTTTTTATATTTAAAAATGAAAATTAAAAAAATCTTATCATAATTAAATGATTAAACCTACAAAAATTGATTGCATAGGATTTTTTAAAAATATTTATGCTTTCACATGAAAAAACTTGGTTCAAATTGTACTTGGTTATATCTCAAAAAGCACATTTTTAAATGAAACTTGGATAAAGTATTCCCTGAGCAACCATGGCCGCCACCGTGCATCTTCTTCCATATTTTCAACGTTTTCTCGTCGGCCAAACACGACAGTACAGGTTTTTATTTTATTCTAAACTAGGGTGTCGTCCCTGATTAAGTTTATAAAGTTGATTTTATGAACTACATAGAATAAACTACTTTTCCATATCCGATAAAGAGCCAAAAAGATAGGATGAATCGAAACAAGAGGCAGGGAATACAGAAAATCGAAAACAAACACAAAAATCTACAATCGGATGGTGTGTCTTTTATCAGCTGTGCAATCTTTTCGACATAACATTCAAGTGTAACATGTTTTTGGTGCTCATCATCGTTGAAATATTAAAACAAAACAAAACATGGAATGTAAAAAAAAAAAAAAAAAAAAAAACTGGCAGGTATTAGATGCAAGATACTTCGGCATAAGATCAACCGCTACCTGACTATGTAACAGGAGGGAGGAGTGGAGGAAAAGTGAGGTATCTTGGAACCAGTTCTCACAGAGTTTCCTCATAGGAAGTAATCGGGCGTTCTGCGAGTAACATCGGGTTCTCCTCTCCTTGGAGCTGGCTCAAACTGCAGCAAGATGAACTAAACGGTTTTACACAGACACAAAAGGCATCCGGGAATTCAGTTTTGAAAGTTAGCAGTTGCTCTTTTAAGCTTTACCTTAACTCGCATATGCATGTGTGTGCAATGATAGGAAAAAGGAAAAGAGGGGGGAGGGAAAGCAAGACCTGGATGAATGTGTGATTCTTGCAATCATCGACTTCCAAAATCGAAGCCATGTTCCCGCAGCGATAACAATAATTCGGCGCACTAAATATAGTTACCACCTTTTGTTCCTATTACACGGAAATAAATAGGTAATTAAAAAACACCGAAGCATTTTATACTGTGTATACAAGAAAAAATAATAATACTTTGATGAATAAGAAACATGAATGATTACATGTGCCCAGTTAAACCCATCCATAACCAGCTGATGAGCTCTAGCAATCAATTTTAAGCTGTTTGTGTGATTGAATTGTTCAGATATATCCTGCAGAGAAGAACTAAAATTTTAATATTAAATTACTGAAATATAAAAAAGGGAATACAACAATAGAATCTTGAACAATGGTCGCTCCCAACATTAATTACCTGGCCAAATGTATATCCAGCACCACGAGGTGAAATGCCCCAACCACATCGATCATCTGGATCAGACCACAATAAATCACACATGGGCCCTTCGTGAGGAACTTCTTGAACACGATCAAAATTTCTTATGTTATCCAGGGTTTCAATTGAAGGGGACAATCCACCATGCAGACAAAATATTTCTGACTCCACCTAAAATGAAGAAAACGGCACTACATCACTGGAAGAAAACAACGGATCATTTCAACTACCATAATTTCCCTTCACTTCTAGGAAGGACAAAGTTGACTTGAACATTACCAAGTAAATATGTCTCTTTAGCTGGGACTAAACCAGTAAAGTAATAAAGTTGGTTATCTTGATTTTACAATAACCATTAAATACAATAAACAGTCAATTGCTTCCATTACATTCCAGAAAGATTTGGTGTCATTTTTAAGAGTTGCAATGCTATCAATTCCAACCTTTTCTTGCCCAAACAAAAAGACCACGGAGCAAAAGAATAGTATTGAACAACAAAGCCAAATGAAATAAAACCAAGACAAAAATATCAAAAATCAAAGATTCTAAGGGCAATCTGTGCCCTTAGTTCTTTCTTTTTTAGAATTTAGGTTTGAAGTCAAAATAATTGGCAACTCTATTAGTTCTACTTACCAAAGCAGTTAATGGAAAATAGTCAAATAGGTCCGTAAAGGTCTTCCAAACATTAGCATTGCCGTACCTGTAAATAAACAACCATAAAAAGTATTACATTGGATTAGCAAGACGCAGAAGCCACTAACCTTTTCCATGTGACTCCAATTTATCCGAAGAGTATAACTCCAGCAACTCTAATCCACTAGTTTTATTGATCATATTAATCAAGGCAATACTATTGCAGTTTAATATCTTAAATGAAAAAGGAAAGTAGAGCTAATACATCTCTGTCTCATAAAACTACACCCTTTCAAATGAAGGTTGTGTAATAGAAACTCACTTTCGCAGACATTCATCATAAAACCCATAAACTTGAGTGATCTGCCAAAAAGAAAAATGCCTCAAGAATTAGCTAGACATTCACATTATAGTTTGTCAAAATTTCATATCAGACATTGAATTAAGATTCAGATATACAACATATAATGCCATCTCAAAATTTTCATGTGCATACATATTTGGACAATTCGGGAAGGAGTAGAAGATGCAGATGTCATACCTGGCGGCTTTCATGATTTCCCCTGAGAATGGTAATCCGCTGCGGATAACGGACTTTCAAAGCCACCAATAGCTGAAAGAGAAGAAAATAGTTTCATCCAAATGAATGCACAAATGGCTTACTGCCTAAATTTTCTATTGATCTCTAAAGTTGTTGATTTCATTTTAAAAGATTACACTAGTTAATTCAAGACCAACTCTGAAAAAAAATAATATAATATGCATCTTTATGAACAGAAAAAGTAACAGTAAGCAACAACAATCGACTCCAGTGATTTTGATACCTAGCATCAACCTAGCATGGAGTATAGTTTAACGGAAGTGGAACATAGTGATAAAAACCACCAGTAAAATGTTTCGCATCAAGTACCTCTTGAGTTACGTCAAATTGAAGTGCATCCACCATATAGAGAACCAAAAGTGGTAAATAAGATAAAATGCAGTTACACTAAATCCAAAGCACCTGATCCAAAGGAAAATCTAAATTCATCATCTCTCTAACCATCAGTTAGCCTAATAACGGAATTACGGAAGAAACTTTCAAAAGGCAGAGACATCTCAAATTCTTAGCGTTAAAAGTCACAATATCAAACCATGTCAGTTCTCCCCACCATACCCTCCTCCCAAGTGCTGAAAGGAGGATGCAGTCATTTTGGTCACACAGTTTGGAGCCAGAAACCATAGAAGTCATACATTGTTTCTGCTTCTAGATGATGTTTTAGCAGAAACCAGAAACATATTTTATGTAAAGTGTAGAAAAATGCATTTTGTAATTTAACATTTACAACTGTACATACCGTAACAGTTTCAACAGAATAGTACCCACGATCAACGTAATCTCCCATAAACAAGTAGTTTGTATCCGGACACTGTCAATTGAGATAAAACCAACTGTGAGGTATAGGCTCAATACAAAATCTGTTCGCGAGCATAGGAAAAAAGAAAAAAAAGGAAGCAAAAGTGTAAAACAGACGAGGTGAATCAAGTATATGATAAGTTCTAATACATCCTAAGAATCCCCTAATGACACTCATAGTCATAGGTGATTATCTAACAGTTAAAAGAGAAAAAATATCAAAACATGGCTCTTAAGCATTAAAAAACCAGAGACAAAATTTTAAATGGCTGATACTTTCAAGGGAGCATACATCGAAATATCAGTACTGCAGCTACAAGATACATCTGCAGATCTCCAATTTTCAAAACATTGAGTTCTCAAATAATGATATTGCACACTACCTCAGCTGAAACAGAACTGAATACAAAAAAATGGGGTCACAGTTAAAAGTTAGAACAAGTACCTTCCCTCCAATTCGAAAAAGTTCAGCAAGATCATGAAATTGTCCATGAATATCACCACAAATTGTCACAGGGCTTTTCACAGGCTGTGATAAAATAAAATAAAATCAATCAGCATCTTCCTAGTTCATAGATGAGCAATCTCAACATTTCCAATATTCACTGATAATTAACCGATATAGATCAGTGTCTCCCGGAATTAGAGACTAAAGACCAGCTAAGATAATAAACCTGGACATTGCTTTCTTGCATTAATATTTCCTTTGCCTTGTTGCATAATGATTTGACCTGACAACGCAAACCGAACAAAATTTCCAACAGTTATATTGATTCAATATATATATATATATATATATCAGACTTCCAGTTATCAAACTGAGAACAACGTTTTTCAGTGAAAATGTCTTGATTTCTCTTGAAATTACCAAAACCAAAATTGGAATTTATTTTTCTGCTTTAAAATGGACAAAAAGATGCAATTTTATTAAATAATTTGAATAAATGTAAATTAAAATTTAACTAGCAAGAAAAATTACTATCATATATTGAGAACAGCTTAAACGAAATATTCTTTTCAGTGTAAATACCCTGATATCTTTCAAAATTGACGCCATAAAATATATCAAAATTTGATCTTCTCTTTCTGCTTTGAAATAAAGAAGAAAAAAAGTAAGTCGCAATTTCTATTAAATAACTTAAACAAATGTAATTACCAAGAAAAAAAAATTATATTATACATTGAAAATTGGTAATAATAAATTCAATTCAAAATCATTTTGTATTTTCATTTATCAGCAGAACAGAGCCGAATAATAGATCAGCGACAAATCAAAATCTCCGTTCTTTCTAAAGAGACAAACAGATCATGAGATGAAAAGAAAACGTACCTGCTGCTCGGAAAGTGGCTTACACTGCATGAGCTGCGAGATCTGTTCATCAAGATCGGCCGTTGAGTCTGTTGGTGACGGATTAGCCCCCATCTTTTATTTATCAGTTCAAATAATCGAAACTGAAAATCGCTATCCGGATTAGGGATAACGCTAAACCTACCTTGGATTGGGATTTTTTTTTTCAATTTTTTTTTTTTGAATAACCTTAGTCTTTTTTTTTTCTCTATACACTCTTTCTGTGGGCTCTTTTGCTTCTCTCACGAAGACGAAATGAGAGGGCGCGTTAATCAAGGCTGCCAACGGAGCGCGTAGGGTGCGAGTTTCCGACAATACACATCTGAGTTCATTATTATTTATAAGTCCGGATACGATTAAATTAAGCCTAAATTTAAAATTTGAACCCATCGGATCTATTTTATTATTTATGAATGAAATAACATTTTAGATTTAATTAAAAATATATGAACTATTATTACGTTTTCATCAAAATTTTATTATTTATGAATGAAATAACATTTTAGATTTAATTAAAAATATATGAACTACAATTACGTTTTCATCAAAATTACAAAAACGATTACGCTTTAGGTCCTAATAAAAATGTCATCTTTTTTGTTGATGAACTTGTTATATCTGAAACTTATTGTGAATAGTGTTTTCCATTATAAAGGAAGCAATTACAACAACAATTTGTGGACAAGATACACCATTTATATCGTATTGTTGTTCAAACAGCTCTAAAGTGACCAATAATAGATAACCAAAATGAACACCCCACAATCTTACACATAATAACGTGGATGAGTCATGTTGGTAACAATCCAATCATTTTAAGTTCATAGAAAGAATCGTTTTTAATATGAGAAAATTATTGTATTACATTTTAATTGAATTGAGAAAGAGAATATCTCAAATATAACAAATAAAATATAATCACAAATAGAACCTGGAAATTGAAATGACAAAGAAAATGAAAGTCCAAAGATTGGCATCAAATTTGACAATGCCTAAAATCACGCATAAAAAAGGTATAAACTGGAGTTTACATGTTATTTCACAACAAAGTAGGGGCAATGTCATGTTAGCATTGAAAAAAAAATCTAAACAAGGGTCATGCTTACCATTAAAAGACTGGGAAAATCTTACCACTCGCAATAATGTCAACCAGACATTATGCAGCAAGTCATCGGAACATGCCAAAAACCATATAATCGTCGTTTGATATTGTGAATCGCACTAAGGTTAGACTTAGAGATGAATCCTATTAACTGATACCTCAAGTTTTGATCGTCTTTCCCTTTCAATGTGGCTGCAATATGGAGGACCCTGTCAAGGTAATGACCGTTAATTTTTATCGAATTCATCTTCTGTATCGGTGGTCTCCTCCTCGTATTCATCACCTGTTCCAAACTCTTCATATTCTTCATCTTCATCTTCGTTTTCGTTTTCATTTTCATCTTCCTCTTTGTCTTCCACACTATTCTCCGAGTCTTTAAGCAAAACGTCTTCCCGGGGTATCAAATTCGTATCTTTACCACGGTAAAGAAGGCCAGTCCTCATTACATGATAAAACTTCTGTCTTATACGAACAAGAGGATGCGGGTTCACAAGTTTTCCCCGCCTATACCCTTCCTTGAGAGCCACAGTTGTTGTTTTGCACTTCAACGACAGGTAGAAGATCCCGGGATATCTAGTGAACAATCGAGTAAACTTATGCGGGATGTTTAGTTCCTCTCTCAAGCTTCTCAGGTAGTTCCTTTTGGTCTTCTTATGGATTGTCAAGCTCAAAAATTCGTGCAATACACCAACAGCCCTTTTCTCCATCAGCTCACTATTCGGATCAATATGCCGTGAATCTTCATACGGAGATATGTAGGGAAGCTTCTGAAACTCCTCCATCCAAGCTCTCACCTTCCTTTGTGCACCATAACCCCTTGGGAAATTCATCGGGAATGCCAATGTGGTTTGGCCCCTCTTAAATTCCCTGTACTCATCACCCCTCTCACCACCCTCGTTACTTCTTTCCAATGCCGAAACAGCAAATTCCTCACGCCACCCTGCAAGTCTCAAAGCTGAAACACCGGTCGGTGCCTTAACAAAGCTGAAGTAATCTGGATATTTCGGGATTAACACTTTCTCAAAGTTATCCGGCAAACCAAGATCCCATTTCAAAGAATGAAGGGACTGAAGAGGTGCAGTCCTACTTCTCATCATCATAAGCACCCTGGAAAGCCTCTCTATTGTATCATTCTCATTCGCCTTGTGTATGCTCTGCTCTTGTGAATCTAACAAGAGTGCAGTACCGGTCAACCGAAAGCAAGGCAGATTAGCATATCGCGGATGTGGGAATTCCTCAAAGAGAGTAGGGTACCTAAAACAAAGTTGGAAAAACCAATTCGCAATCAACAACAGCTAGCCTTGTAATTAAACTCAATAGTTAATACCAGTTTATTGAACAAGGAAAACCATTCTCCTGTTAGTGCATACGAGCTTATGTTAGGCTCGAGGTAAGTGCAACATACGAGCATATGCACGGCACAAATATGTTAAAATGTTTATAGCTTTCCCACATATTTGAAGGATTCTACTCCGCAGGAGTGAACAAACCAGCAGTTGCCCAGTAACAAGCACCCAGTAACAATGGCAAAACCTACATATAGGATACTGCTTTGTGCTTCTGCCATTGAGCATATATATAACTAAAAGCACGAGTTTTTTTCCCCAGAAAAATGGGTGATTTTGATATGCATTTAATCAAACTTCATATGAAAGCAATCGTGATTTTATCATATACATATATAACAACTTCTACATGAAAATGCAGATAGTAAACAACAAAAGTAGCAATTAAAATGAAGCATTTTTATCTACTCATCGTTGCAAAACCAGAAAAAGGGTATTGAAAAGTGGAGGATATAAGGCCAAAAAACTACCTGCGCAAAAAGCGAAGAACGGGGACAGTGAGGCCAAGGAGCTTTTGCCAATCGGCGAATGATTTGGCCGTAAGAAAACCGGTCGCTGACCGTTTTATAGCATTCTTCAAGAGGCAAGCCGCTTTGAGGTCGGTCTCGATGTCGATGACATGATCGAGGCTCCGATTTTTTACCCATTTCAGCCTCACCTTCACTATGCTCCTCCATTGTTGATGCTGAATTTGGGGATGTGAAATTAGGTTTTTGATTGAGGAAATAAAGGTTTCGGCTTTGAACATTAATTTGCAGATGTAAAAGAGTCACCGATTAAGGCGAATAAAAAGTTACAATCTTTGGTGATTTTTTCTTCTTTTCTGCTCTTTCTTGCTGCTGAGAGAACTGAAGCCATTACCTGTTGTCTTAAAGTTTAAACTTTTTTTACTGTTTACATGTTGATTCACTCTTTAGCCCAAACCAAAATGCCCTTTATGTTTATAATTTCTACCCCAAATCCAGATGCCCTTTAGTCCAAAACCCTAACTCTAAATTTTAATATTATTTATTATTAATAAATATAAATTAATAAAATTAATAATCGATATTATTAAAGTGATAAAACGATTTAATAACATTATTATGGATTTGAATCTACTAATAAAATTATAGAAACAAAGAACTTAGACTGAATTTTAATAAATATATTACAACTATACTTGGAACCCTTTCATTTTGCAATAATTATTTAGATTAGACCATTTTGTGCTTGTTTCCGCCTGAGTGAGTGACTACCGAGGAGTGTCAATTGACACCCAAAAGATTTCCAAAACAGATATAATAACACTATGATTTAAAGGCATCCATCATCTATTAAAATCTCTGCAAAAGCAGTATCTTCAACAGAAACTACGAACGGAAATAAACACGAACATAACCGAATAACTATTCCAGTTTCACTTCAAGTTTATCAAAAATAAACCAAAACCGCAAAAACGAAGGGGTGTATTTAATAACCACCCTTGAGATCATTAACAACATCATATGGAATGGGAGTGACTGTTTCCAATGTAGCACCCTCCACCATGAAACCGGGTTTAGGTCCCTCTGGTTGCCTCTTTGTGCTGATAACTTCACCCTTTGCCTTAGCCTCTGCTTTTAGTTTATCATTCTTCATCTTCCTAAGCTTGAATTCCTCAGTGCATCGTGATGGCTGTACATGCTCCACTCGCACGTGAATCCTCTTCCTGATTATCCTGTTACCGACCTGAAATCAACAATCATAATCATGCAAGTACACCAAGTTCAGATATTGATTATATGGAGGGTGATTGTGCTGGATTGGCATAAAGGTTAAACAAGGCAGTAAAGTTATAACAAGATCAGAGTCTCAAATGCAGGCATATTACAACAAATTCATTCAAAAATTCCTGCAACTTTGCATCTAATCTTACAGAAATATTAAGCTTGCGGTGATGGCATGAGAGCTCGGCACCAGCACAAGGGTTAAACAAGACAAATGAATGTCGGGAAAGTTCTAACATGATTACGACATGAAACGCAGGCATGTTACAGCAAATTTCAAGAAGAACAAACATGTAAATTTGTATCTCATCTTACTAAAATATTTATTCAAGCTCATCCCAAGATTGAATTTAGATTCTTTTTCTGTAATAACAGCTATCTATGTTAGCATTCTAAACCAGGTGATGGCAGGAACATATGCATGAATTTATGCAAGGATGCAAACTTAAGAAGTTATATTAAAATTTTAGGGGTACAAAACTATAAAATTTCAATGGTATAAAATTAGATCATCAATAGAAAATATGAAGAAAATTGAACTATTTGCGATTTGAAACTCCAAGTCCATTGATCACTTGTACCATATAACCAAGCAAATCCAACATTAAAATACCAGAATTAAACACAACTACTATTACACATATCATAATAATATCAGAAAAGGAATCCATATCTTCATCTTCAATACAAGATATTCAATTTCAAATAAAAAGTTGGCAATTCGAAAGAAACCAAAACCCAAACAAAGATGAAAATGAAACAAACCCAAATTTTATTTATACCTGCTTGTTGACTTCAACGCCAATAGCTCGTTTAGTGACGTTCCATACACGGCCGGTGCGACCATGGTAGAACTTGTGGGGCATACCCTTGTGAACGGCGCCGTTTACCTTGACGTCGACATAGTCGCCGATCTTGTAGATCCTGAGGTAAGTGGACAAAGGAATGTAACCCTTCTTCCTAAAGGGCCTGGAGAATGAATCCCTTGTTCGACAACGAACACCGTGACCTGCTGGCATTTTTTATACTCTCCTTTTTTCCCCTTTCAGTTGCAACGATCTTTATGGATAAACAAAACCCTAATTTTGATCATCTTATAGCCGCTTCTTTGACTTGTGTAGGGGTTTTTGGATTTTTTTTATTTTGGGCTTTGTTCATATTTGGGTTATTTTCCGTTTGAATGAACCCATCAAAGCCCATAGCATTAACATTGTTAGGTTTTTTTTCGAAAAAAAAATAACCTAATAATTTTCCTTTTGGTTTTTCGTTAAAGAGATGTAATAAAATCCAATTTTCTTTTGATTTATAATGGATCTCGTGTCAAAATTCTATAGTAGATAGGCTAAAAAATTCAGTTGATATTTTCATAAGTATTCTTAAACGTTCTCTTAATTTATTTATCAATCTTATAATATATTATTTTTCTTACTTTTATATATTTTATAATTTATATAGTTGATTTTGATCGTATAATGATATCTAATTACATAGTTTAAAACATTTAAAATGAAATTTTATGAAACTTTTTATATTGAGATAGCTAGGATCATTGAATAAGTATATTTTCTTAGTTTTATACTTATACATATATAAGTATGATCTAATTATAAAGGGTAAAACTTTTAAATTTTGTATTAATTTAAGATAGTTGAATAAATATAAATCCATAGATGAGATTAAAAACTAAAAATGACGATATTTCTATAAGAAAAAAATTTCAGTTATCAATTTGCATTCGATTAATATTTCTAAATCAATATATAATTTTTTGGCTTAATATAAAAATAAGTGTATAAATTATACCTGAAAGTTAACATTTTTTGCCTAAAGAATTTTTCGTTTAAAATAAGTGTTTAACGTTTTCTCCGTTACACTTTTAGGTGCATACCGATTAAAAAAAACTATTAAGTGACACGTGTCACATTTAGATATTTTTTAAAAATATTTTATTTAAAAAAGATAAAAATATATATAAACGTGACATGTGTCAATTAACGGGGATTTTTAATGGTATGTACCTAAAAGTATAACAGAAAAAAACGTTAGGTACTTGTTTTTAACGAAAAATTCTTTAAACACCAAAAAAATTTCGAGTATAATTTAGACACTTAATTTGGTATTAAGCCAAATTTCTTTTAGATATTACTTTGTATAAATGGTATTCTCTAACACTTTGTAGATGTTTTAGACAAACAACAAATATTATATATGTACATAGTTCACAAGTTTACCATAGAGATATTCATGTGTTCACTTATAATAAGAGACAGTTACAAATTTTTATATTAAAAGATAAATTTAAAAATTATATTAATCCCCTTAAAATAAATGGTCTCTGTCTTCCGACACATTTTCTCTCTGTCTTTTGACACACTTTCTTCTCTGTTTGGCTTTGTTGAAAACATTTTGATGGTTCGATATAACAAATTAAGTTAAATGAATTTTAAGATTTTACAAAATATTTTCTAAGTATATTCGATGTAGTTATTCGAATATCAAAATATTACTGCAAGTCTTTCAAAGTTCATTTTAATCCTTACTAAATGTGTAAAATTGTGTTTTATACTTACTATATTTTTGAAACAATTTTCACAAAGTATTTTGAACCAAAATCAAGCCTAAAATCAATTTTTCAAAGGAATGCACCGATGCACCAATCCATGCATCAATTCACCAATGAATAAATTGAACATCGAATGCATTTTATGCATCGATGCACATACCATGCATCGATGCACTCAGGGTTTTATGAAAACATCGAATGCATTTGATGCATCGATGCACAAGACATGCATCAATGCACTAAGGCTATTTTGAAACATCGAATGCATTTTATGCATCGATGCACACTTACTGCACCGATGCACTAAGTGTTCCAACGGTTAAAATATTTGAATTTTACACTTGATGCACCGATTCACCTTGTGTATGCATCGATGCACTGACGCTCTCAACTGATTTTATTAATTATTTTCACACTTAAATGACTCTATTTACTCCACTAATCATTCCCAACGTTCAGAATCAATTGAAGGAGTATTTAAACAAGCTTAGAAGCCATTGATCAACAACAAGAAATAAGAAGAAACAACAATATACTAGAATCAAGAGAGAATCAAAGAGAAAGCATCAAATTCATTGTTTGAGCACTTCAAGTCTATTTTTCATTCAATATTCATTTTGCTTTCAAGAACACTACTTGTACTCAATTGTATTCATTCTTGAGTGTTCTTTTCTTTGTTCTAGAGTTGTGCAAACAATCTACCTTGTGAGGATTTCCTTGTAAATTTGCAAATTTGTAATATTCTCTTTGAGAAAGAGTGTTCTCAAGAATTGGGGTATATTCTTGAGGGAGTTGTAAGGTTATCTCTTTGGCCTCAAAAGAAAGAACAAATTAGTGAATTTGTTGGAAAATTCTTAGTGTGGATAACTAAGGTAGTGTACGTAGACTTTGGTTGAGAAAGTCAAACTACTCTAAATCGATGTGCAATTACTTTCAATTTTCTGCAAAAGCTTCCACCAAAATTTTAATTGCCAATTCACCCCCCTCTTGCCCGATTCAATCAATCGATTAACTCAACAATTGGTATCAGAGCCTCACTCATTTGAAGGTTTAATCACCTCTTGAGTCAATTCGAGAAGAGTTATATCAATAATCAAGTCATCAATGGCCTCTACTTCAAACTCCGACTTCGGTCTTGATTCATTACCCGTCAACAAGCCTCCTTTCTTCAATGGAGCTAATTATGCTTATTGGAAGAATAGGATGATGTATTTCATTCAAGCAAGTGACATGAGAGCATGGAATATTATAGAAGACGGATACATCAAAACCTCCACTCACCCAAGATTGTGGAGTGAAGGAGAGACGAGAATGTTCCAGCTCAACTCCAAAGCTGTCCATATTATCTTTTGTGCTCTTGGACCAGATGAATACGGGAGAGTTTCATCTTGTACAACCGCCAAGGAGATATGGGACAAACTACAAGTCACTCATTAAGGCACAAACGAGGTAAAAGAATCTAAAATTAGTCTTCTAACTCATAGCTATGAAAATTTCAGGATGAAACCGAATGAAGACGTCAAAGCTATGACGGATAGATTCTCCACGATTGTCAATAGTCTCAAATCATATGGAGAAATCATTCCAAATGACAAGCTTGTAAGGAAGTTAGTTTACTCTCTTCCAAAAGCTTGGCAATCAAAGAAGACGACAATCATTGAGGCTAAGAACTTAAAATCCATGACCCTCGATGAACTTATTGGCTCTCTCCTCACGCATGAAATGATGCTTAAAGAAGAGGAAGACCTTGAGAAAAGAGACGAGCCAAAGAAGGAGACGGAGAAGAAGAAGAACATGGGAGTTGCTCTCAAATTAACAAAAGATGAGAGTAATTTGGATGAAGATGACGACGACGAGGAAATGACATTGTTTGCCAAACGGTTCAGAAAAATGATGAGGTCTAACCGAGGAAGAAAATTCAAACGAAATGGAGGCTTCAGAAATAAACCAAAAGAGAAGGACCCTATCATTTGCTATGAATGCAAAAAACCGGGGCATGTCAAATATGATTGCCCACAATTGAAGAAAAAGGGTCAATTAAAGAATAAGTACAAGGATCACATGGCTACATGAAGTGATGAAGAGGGTTTTGATGAAGAGGAACAAGAAGTAGCAAAGTTGTGCTTGATGGCATTCGGGGAAGATTATAAGAATTTGGGTACCAAAAATCAAAAATTAATCTATGTTTGTACGAAAAGGACCATTGCTACAAGGCACGAGAAACAAACTCAAACTCATGGTACCTTGATAGTGGATGCTCAAGACACATGACCGGAGATAAATGCCGGTTCATAGAGCTCAACACCAAAAATGGAGGAGATGTGACTTTTGGTGATAACTCAAAAGGTCACATTGAAGGTATAGGCACTATAGGTAATACCTCTTCCATACAAATTAAGAATATTTTATATGTGAATGGATTAAAGCATAATCTTTTGAGTATTAGCCAATTTTGTGATAAGGGATTCAATGTCATGTTTGAAACTAATGGTTGTAAAGTTATTGACATTGCATCTAATCGGATTATGCTTGTTGGTCATAGAATAGGAAGCATATACATGGTGCATTTAGATTCCATAGATATGACTAATTTATGCCTAGTTGCTAAGGATGAGCATGATAGTTGGTTATGGCATAGGAGACTAGGACATGCTAGTATGAGTGTTTTGCAACAGCTAATTCAAGGAGATTTAGTAAGAGGGTTGCCTAAACTAAAATTTGATAATGATAAAATATGTGATGCTTGTGCTAAAGGAAAACAAAAGCGTGTTTCTTTTAAATCCATTAATGACGTATCCACTAGTAGAGTATTACAATTGATCCATTTAGATCTTTTTGGGCTATTTAGAACTACTAGCTTGGGTGCAAAATAATATGCATTTGTTTTGGTAGATGATTATTCTAGATATACTTGGGTTCTATTTTTAAGTACTAAAGATGAAGCATTAGAAAAATTCATCATGTTTTCAAAAGTAATCCAAAATGAAAAAGGTTACTCTATAACTAATGTTAGGAGTGATCATGGAATTGAATTTGAAAATCTTGGATTTACTGAATTTTGTAATTCTAATGGTATTAGCCATAATTTTTCAGCACCTAGAACCCCTCAACAAAATGGAGTTGTTGAGAGGAAAATTTGAACTTTAGAAGAAATGGTTAGAACCATGCTTTGTGAAAACAATTTGCCAAAATATTTTTGTGCAGAAGCCACAAATACCGCTTGTTATGTTATTAATCGAGTAATGATGCCTATTTTGAAGAAAACTCCATATGAACTTTTTAAAAATAAAATGCCTAACATTAGCTATTTCCATCCTTTTGGATTTAAATGTTTTGTTTTAAACAACGGTAAGGACAATCTTGGCAAATTTGATGCAAAAAGTGATGAAGGAATTTTTCTAGGTTATTCCTTAAATTCTAAAGCTTATCAAGTATTTAATAAAAGAACTTTAGTTGTAGAAGAGTCTATACATGTTGTTTTCGATGATAATCCCCTTCCGAGGAAGGATTCTTGTGTAAATGATGAT